CTCTCCGTGCACACACAACTCTCCGGCCCTCCCTCGGCCCGTATTTCTCTTTCTCCAGCCTTCGCTGTTTTCCTCCCTCGCGGCGCGCCGGCTCGCTCGCCCGCTCTCGCTCCCCCCGAGCTCTCGCCCCCGAGCTCGCTTGTATATCAAGCGAATTTATTTCCAACACGTTGAAACGTAGCCGTGCGTGCACACGCGCGTCGGGGGTTATCGCTGCCGCGAAACTAACTAGCAAACCACCAACCCGCACGAATACTCTTTCGCCACCCTCGCCGCGCTATCCCCCACCAAACGGCACGACTGACCCCTGCAGGTGATATCGCGGTGGCCAGCGAGACTTCAACGTTCCCTACTTTCCTCCCTCCGCCTCCCGGCCGACCGCGGCTCTTTTCGGCTCTTTTCGCGGCTGACGTACCCCTCGGGGGAGCACACCGTCCCTCGAACGATCCCGGACCGATCTCTTTCGCTTTCCCTTTCTCTCCGTTCCGCTTCGTTGCCCGTCGAACTCGCGTCCCTGGCATTTTTCATTTCGCTCGAACGGGGATCGCCCCGATTCCCTTTTCTTCCCTCTTTCGACCGAGTTCGGCGGAGGGTGACGCGTGGGAGCTGCAACGTGTAAATACCGTGACGCGCTCGCTCGCTGCTGGCGGTTTAGCGCGCTAGCGAATAATCCTTTTTCATATTTAACCGTTCGACGTGTGCCGCGATCCATCGACCCAGGGAGATTCCAATTTTCGATTGGGACCGCGATCGGGCGGTTATTCATTTTTAAAGGACCGCCAGCGAGAAATATCGAGGACGATTAACGACCGTGCATATCGGTGCTATCGACTCGAGTGGTTGCTTCTCAGGGAAGCATGTCGGATGGTCGAAATGATCGTGCTCCTTCGCGTTCGGGTGTACGTTTCCTCGGCAATCGAAATCATTCGATGCTTCTGCATAATGTCGTAGATTCCGTGAGGTCAGTTTATCCCCGTTCCCTATTCGTCGATGCGAATGTCCCATGATTCGAGGTCTCGACGGCCGAACTACTTTCGGTGGTTCTTCGAGTATAATGATTTCTTTTGTTTTTAATAATCGATCAAAGATTCGCAAGTTTATCGGATTCATTCGTAACTGTAAATTCTTATTTATTTCCTCTGAGAAAGCTAGGTAAACTGGAATTCGTTAACAAACCAGAGAAATTTCTATTTTGATTTGAATTTCTGAAAAATCGAGAAAGAGGGAAGGGAAAAGATTATAGCGTTCGATTGTATAAATTACATATGTACTTGTAAATATAGTTCCCTAGTACACGTGTCGTACGCACTATCGTAAAGACTATAAATTACTTATATTATTACAAATAACATCGATTCAACGGTAATGCAAAAAATATATATATATATATCATTTGGTACATTCTCGAATATAAATTATTTTAACGCGTGACTGGAGTTGAATTATACAAAATAATAGTAAACGTGATCCGGACAACCACCTTTACCATTATCTTTACCTTTAATATATTATCAACTAATATTCTGCTTTTTCATTGGAATTTACAAGATACACGAGTCTTCTTCTAAAGGTTCCAACTTTTTCAATATATTCCGTTAAACAACTGTCTTTCAATTATTTACTTTCTTTTCTTACTTTCAGTTTCTTAGCTTCTACAATGATACACAGTCCACAGATAAAACACAAGTGGTAAACAGTTTACGCTACTGAAAATATCTAATTATCCCATGAATTATACAGTTTTAGTCCTCGTTGTCTAACTCTTCATACTCGTTTATAATCACCTTCGAAATACCGTTAGATTAACCAGTTAACTTAAAACTCTTAATGGTGGCAACTTTTTCAACGATGGACTATTTATTTTTCGAGAGAAACATGTAATTCTTCGTTTCGCTTTAGTTTTTCGTTAGGATATATTTGAAATACTTTTGGCCTGCATTCAACGAGTATACGCTTCGTTATTTGATTTCATTGCACGTATGAGAAGTTTTTCGAACTAAACTCCACAGTTAACTGGTTAAAGCAGAATACAGGGTTTCGTTGCTACGCGCGTGAAATGGGAATGGTTCACTGTCAGACTGTATTGTAAACAATGTTTATTTTTACATTAGTAGTTCAACATTGGTACATATCCATATAAAGATGCACGGTAACGTCGGTGTACTCATAACATCCGCATGCTCGGGTTCGTCGCATATGTGCTCACATACTGTATTCGTATATGTACATATGTATATTGAGACTCGACGTCGTCGATCACATATGAATTTTTGGTTCGTGTTTTTTCCCCCTTTTTCCGTTCTTTTTAAAATCAAAGAAAACGATCCGTCTAATTAACAGGTATCCTATTTTAGTTTTAAAATTCTCGACCGAATCTCATTGATCTTTTCACCGGTTCAAAAGAAACCAATTGAAACCGCCTTGCCTAGCTCTCGATAGTCGGTGTATAAATACTTAAATTAATTCTAGTCGTATTAAAATTATAAGTTCATCGAGAGAAATCAAGAACGAGAAGTGACACACACTCGCGCGTGCGCTTACATCCACACATATGATATTCGTGTATCCTCATACTTCGTGTACGAATACACGTGTCGAATATTTCAAGCATTTTATAAGATGTAGTACGTCCGAAACATTAATGATTTTTTCTTCTCTTTTTTTTTCGTTTTTTATTTATTTTTAAATAAAGGTGTTGCGATCTCTGTTATTCAAATATAGATTGTATTTGCTATACTTTCCTTTACATTCTTAAGGATAAAAAATATTTCAACATGGCCCACGGCCACGTCTAACACAAATAATAACTAGTTGCCTAATATCTACACAGCACAGTTTTTATACTCACGCATTAGTGTATTCGCATTTGATCTAGTGTTTCCTTATTAGATGACTCGTACATTATTCGTTTGGAAAATCATATTCGCGATAGAACGGTACACATATTTTTCTAACTACGAGAAACCTCGCGAAAATTATCTTTCTCATCCGCCGCGACGGAAATCAATCTACTCCGGAATTAAGAAAATCGTACAACGTATTCGAGTGTGTATAATAGAACTATATCTCGGCTTTGCTTTTGCTCCTTTTAAATTACTAATAAACTTACGCATCCCTTTCAACGAATCCTTTATGAAAATATAAAATACTGTTAGCGCAGTCGGTCTAATTTTTCGGTTCCTACTACAGCATTATAAAACACTTCTTCTATTTCCCTTATACATTTTTATGTACATCTCAATTAAACAATACAGAGTTAGGATCTTCGTTGTCAAGTTGCTTCATATGTCTCAATACGTCCTTTTTCGTAATAACTGCCAAAAGTCGACTACGCAAACAAGATTTATGATAAATAAGTATGAATCCACTCAGATATTCAACTATCGATAGCAACACGTTTAAGAGGTAATTCTCTATGTCATGATAAAATAAACAAGAAAACTATTATTTAATTATTCATTATTGGCAACATATTTTAGAATATAATATCATTCTTTAAAATGATGCTACCTCTAGTTGAACACCTCGTGCAGTAACTTGAAATTCAACATTACGATATTAATAAAACATTACAAAATACATACCCATTATGCGTAACGAGTGTCTGCCTCAGTCCCAATTTCCTAAACATATCGACAACAGTCTCCATGGGCGTTTGGTCTGTAATGGTGATCGGGGCCATATCGAGGATTTTCTTCAACTTAAGTGGCGGAGGGGAGTGATTTTGAATGTTAGTTCCATTGGTGAACAAGACCAAAGATTGTCCAGTGATCTCCTCTGTCATGCGTTTAGCGTTTGCAATGGCGAGATTCAAATCCCTGCGGGATACAAAACCAACGAGATATTGGGATTCCTTCGACACTATTACAGGGAAACCGTTGTGCTCGGTTTCCTTCAATAAATTCTCAACATCTTCGACGGTCATCGAATCCTGAGTAAGCACATGAAGAGCGTCGTTACGCCTAAAAATAATTAATCGGGAAATAATGAGACGTTCCTGAGGTAGAAAGGATAAAATCTGAAAATCTGAAAATCTGAGAGATTTACTTCGGTTGCATCACGTCGGCCGCGAGAGTGGTGTGCTGAAATTCGTCTTTACTGTCGAGGAATGGGTATCCATTCAGATCGATGTGGGCGTCGTAGATACCTTGCTTTCCAAGAGCGTCGCCGACCCATTTGCTAGCCATAGCCGCGGCCATTAGCGGCACGATATACCGTACACCTCCAGTTAACTCGAACATTATCACGACGAGGGACACGGTCATTCTGGTGACGCCGCCGAGGACAGCCGCGGCGCCAACCATCGCGTATAGTCCAGGTGTTATGCAATCTACACCAGTCGAGCACTCTTCGCTGAACATCCAAATGTGCGGATAATTGTACGCGAGTTGTTCCATTCCGATGCCAACAATGCGGCCCATTATCGCTCCCAAGCACAGCGACGGAATAAACAGTCCGCAGGGTACTTTCATACCGAACGTGAATATCGTCAATGCGAGCTTTAAAATTAACGCCAACACAAGCAACCATATCGCTTTGTAAACTCCGGGTCCAGCTGCAGCGATTTCAATCGCTGACTTCACAGCAGTGAAATTTCTGTTGTAATCGCTATGAGAAGAACGAGAAGAAACTTTCTTTAGCGTTCGCATTGGTGATCCGGTGATTGAAAAGAAAAGGAGACAGCTGTTACGAACCATAGTATGTCAGCGTTCGAACCTCCGCACTGACTAAACAACAGGTAAATCAGTTGACTTGTACTCATCCGAGTGTAGGGGTTTGGATATCCAATAACAGCTGTTGCAACCGTTACTATCAGAACTTCGGTAACCGGGTACTGACCTAGTTTTGATGTTTTACGATATCGGCACCAAAACAAATTTGCTTTGATAAACAATGTAGCTATTACTCCCTAGAAAATCGATAAAGGTGACAACACGGAAATATAGTTTATGTAGAAAAATTGGTAGTAGGAGGAAGCTCACTCCGATTATTCCGAGCATGACGAAAGGTATCAATTCAAAGAATATCCAAGGTTTATTGTACTCGACGTAAAATAACACCGAATGCTCGTTGCCAAAGGGATTGATCGATCGCAGAATGAATGCCGCTATCAGAGCACAGAAGAATGATCGCCATAATGTCTTCAGGGGAAAGTAGTAACTCACCTAGAAAATTAATATCTTTTGTTTACAGTTATATGGTAAATACTGAAACTATAATTCTCTAGGTAATTTTGTATTTATAAGTATTTTCGTCCAGCTATTTGTATACTTACCTCCTCAAGACTGAAAAGCACACCTCCAATTGGAGCACCGAAAGCAACTGAAACACCAGCAGCGGCAGCAGCTGATAAAATTTCTCTTTTCTTAGCTTCATTTCTACCATATTTCGGAAATAGGTAGGAAAATATATTTCCTATACAACAAGCTATGTGAACCATTGGTCCCTCTTTGCCTAAATTTAAACCTGCTGAGACTGACAGAATCAAACCCACTGACTTAATTATCAATGTCCATTTTCCTAAATATCCACGAATAATAAATCCACTTAGAATGGTTTTTATCTGCAAGGCAATTTTGACACATTACTCTTGAAAGAATCAGTCTTCTATTTTTTTCTTTCTTTTCTATTATTCGTACATACTTCAGGAATTCCAGAACCACAGGCATATGGAGCAAACATTCTTACTAATGATGCAGAAAGGGAAGCAAACAGAAGAGCCCAAGCTATGTAAAACATATACGAGATCATATAAGGACCCGCACCATCTTTTGACTGGCTAAACACTTCTGGCCACGTCCTCCACTGCAACAAATAATAAAGACATCAAATTCAAGCATTTGAAACATAGGAATCTCAAAATAAAACAAACGTACCTGAGAACAGTTACCACCATCGAAAGTTGTTTCATTGTAACTCCAACAACACTGTTCTTTATTTAACCAAAAAGCTTGGGGGCATATACCAAATTTTAAGTCGGTCATCCAGGAGGCACCTATGTCTATAATACCTGCTGCGACTCCTGTAAAGAGACCAACCAATAAAACACAGAGCCATCCAGACCATGCATCGTGAGCACCCTTGATTAAACCCCAGATGGAATCATGCTTTTTCTTAACAATATATCGATGTCGCATTCTATCTCTGGCAATATCTCTTTGCCAATCGATAGTATGAAAATCATCATATTGACCGATTCCAGGGATATCATCGGAATCAACTGAAACTGAAAAGGTCAAGTTTAACATTCGGTGAAAGTGGTACTTGAGTTTAGAGATTGTCTAACACGATTATCATGGAAACAGCTTACTGTGAGAGGAAGCATCGTCGATTCGAATACAATTATCCGATACACCAGTATTCTCACCAAGATGAGAACCTACGTTATTAACCTCCAGCATGTCGTCGTCGCTGCTTAAATTATTATCACGTTCAGCAGTTCGATTCCGCGATCGCGCATCCTCTACAAAATGCACATCATCTGAATTTTCTACCTATCGTCATGGAAAAGAGTTCCTTTACTATTTTTCTTTTTCGTTTCTCCTAATTAAACTTTTTTCATAGAGATTATTCAACCGTACCTTCGTATCGAGCGATTGGTATGTTGTTAATGTATTCTGATAATTCTGAGGGAATGTATTGTTCATCAAATTTGTACCTTTCAGTGGAAACTTCTCCATGGCATCATCGAGACCTGTAAAATAAAATTTGGCTTATTTAGTAGATTGAAATTAATTGAAAAGCAACAAGTACAAAGTACTATGGTCACAGGTAATATTTTTAAAGAATCATTTATTTTATAATGTAGTTATGTTCACTAGAATTTTTGGAGCAACATACAGTCACCTCTGTACGTGTTACTCCCAAGCATATTGGAACTGCACTAGTCTCTAAGAGATTACCATACCTTAATCCGCACATACTTCATATTGGATTACATTAATGAATAATTCATAATTGCTGTCTTCAATATTAAACTGTAATTTCCCCATCACAATTCATTTCACTATGTTTCACATTAATTATAACAATATATTGTTATAAGAGAAAATATTTTTTAAAAAACCTGTATACGCAATTCAATTTTGATAAAAAATTGAACACTTAAATAGTTTGATAAAAAATATGTATAGACAATGTTTAGTTTTATCCATATGATAATATTTAATATGTAAGAATGAATATGTGTTGTTTCTTTAAAAAATTTATTTTTTCATAATGCTTGCACACATGTACACATTTACTTAAAAATGATGTTCTTCGCAAATTATGTAATAGCTTGTTTTAAAACTAATTTAATTACCATAGTTTTTTATTATATGCATTATAAAACTTTGGTATTGCTACTTTTTATAAAAACACAAAACATATTTCAGAGACATAAACTGCTTATCAGTTAAGTACTATTAACATAGTTAATATCATATCATATCAGTTATACTCCTTATAATTAACTGATTATAAGAAATTTTGCATATCCAATATAATTGCAATAAACAAATATGGAATATTCGAGGATATAATATTTAAAAGAACCAATAATATAATTTGTACATTTTACAGACTTAGCATAAATAAATATAAATGAGTAAATTTAATAAATATCTTTACTTTGATAGTATTAATAATATACCAAACACGCTTTAATCTGTATACAATGTACACAAATTCAAAAGAGAAATTTAATTGTTCTCCAGCTTAACCACCCTATAGGTATATTGAATACTTGTTGTTTACAGTACATAATTCTATTATATTGTCAAAATAATAAACTTTCGATGTTTAGTATTATAAGAAAAAGAAGCAAAATTATTTAAAATTGCATAAATTAATTGTAACGTTTAAAATCATTTAAATATGGAATGAATAAATTGTTTGCAACAGATTATTATCATGCTCCTACGGCGGATTTCAATATTTTTATGACTTTTAACGATGACAGCAAATAATAATACATGAATATGTGGCAAAATCGAACTACTTCAAGCAACTAAGAAGAGAGGTTATCGACATCCGTGTGAAGTACGACAAAAGAATTTAAATCAAAAGTTAAATCAATGTTAAGCTAAAACGCAAAACATGTTTCCATTTGTAGAAGCATACATAAAAAAAAAAAATTGCAATCCTTGCGAGGTTAGGATTAATACCGTACTTTCGATAGCTCAAGGTGTTCATCTGCTGCTCTCACTTACCATTTTTTCAGTTGCTATGCCTTTCAGTTTTCCGTTCATGAATTCCCTTCCCCTTTTTCCACCTCAGCACTGAGTAACACTACTCACTTTCATCGAAATAATGATTTCACCGTAAAAACACAAATATCTTTTTCGACCACGGAGAAACTATGATGGGAATAGGTGAAGGAAACACTTGTCAAAGCAGGGTCCTTTCTCTCTCACCCGTTTAGAGTTCTTTCTTCTTTATTTAATTAAAGTGTGTCACGCCGCGCCATCTTACTATATTCCAGCGAACAAGTAATTTCTTTGCAATAAATATTTTGAAATTTAATAACGACTAAAACGAACTCGCATTAACGAGTTTAAATCACTAAATTTTACATTGAGCTTAAACTGATATTACTTGATCGATTCGGTTGAAACGATTTCGAAATTATATTTCTTTTTCAGAACAAATAATTTACACATTATGTATTCTTCATACAATTTATACCATTATTTCAAGTGTACGGTGAAGAAAATGAAGTAGTCTATTGAAAGAGGCCAAAAGATCTTCTCTTATTGTCTCCCTTTTGTACATATGTTAATGAAAGTGTGAAGTATATATACAATACATTTTGTGAAATTTTTAATATTGGATTGATATGAACTTCAAATTCCAGTTTCTATGCTCCTAAGTTCTTCTTTGGCTGTTACATTTGCGAAACCTTGATATTTAATTGGATAGGCCAACTGATTTCCTTTATTCCAAGTGTAAAGTTCCTAGAAGTGTAAAATTTGTATGAAACATCCGCAAAGTACTATTTTCGCGCATTGTTTTCAAACTGGAAACACAGCTTTACCTTTGTTTTATGATTGTAACTAACAGCTGTAGTTTTATGGTAGGGATTTGTAAATGATAAATGAACAGGTATAGTGATGTTCTTATAAAGGTCGAAAGCCAATCTGCAAATACATTCATAATTTAAACAACTTTACACGTTCACTTTTATTAGAGCTAATTGAACAACGATACCTTATTTTCATTGTTTCTTCGGTGACACTATGAACAGCATAAAGTACTCCTCCAGCAATAAACATCTCTCCAAATTTGTGGTGGTCAATACTGATATTCCATGCATACTGAATAATCATATTATTCGCATCCATTTTTACTACTACTGTATTGTTTGATGGTAATCCGTATATTATCCATAAGCCTATCATAAAAAATAATTGATTCATTATTCGTCATTGTCCACTGTTTTTCAGTTTACAAGATAATCATCCTACAGAATTAATTACCATTCTCATCGACATTGAAATCAACATAATTGAAATTATGATTCGGTGTGTAGAGATAGTTTCTCGTATTCACCAGTAATCCCGGAAGATGCAGTTCACATCGTGGGTATTCCTTGTCGCATACATGATCAGAAACTGAATGAAGATTAAAGCGAAAAATGGAAGACCGATTTATAGGATTATAAAAGAATGATCTATTATATACTATATGCCCATTCCCCTGAAAATCAAGTAGAAATTACCTTATAATAATAATTTACGTTCATTCCTCTGTAAATGATTTAAATTCAATGGTTATGATCTTAAGAACACTGCCAATATACCTGGAACGGATACGGTAACGCGATAGGATACGAACTACCGTTTTTAAAGTGATCTTTCGATTTATATTCAAAAATATAAGAGGTGTCGTTTTTTCGGGTAACCCAGAGTTTATCAGAAAATCCATCCAACCTGGATGATGCATCATGCATCCAACTCCCATAATGATCATCCATTCCACCTTTTAAAACTGGTTTTCCTAAAGCTTCTATTACACCGTCTATAGCATTAAAAGGAGTTAATGAGTTATCAAGTCATTGAACTCTGAAGATACTTCAAGCGGAGAAAGATATTCAGTTTACCCGCTAATCGTGGCGGAAGTCCGGTAAAATTAACGCTTCTGAGCGGCTGAACATTTAAATATTCAGCAACATCTGTAAAGGTACATCTCAGAACCGGACAGGCCGCACAGGTTTCACGTGGCTCGCAAAGTTCCTCTAAATCGACGTGTTGCGGTGCAGGATCTCCATAAGTGACATGTTTCCCACTCTTCAATCTGTCCGCATTTTTTATATCATCTACAATCGTTCGCAATGTTAGGTAATTCACGTAATTCTTTATCTCAATGGTACAACTGTTCCAAGTAAATAAGAAATATCTGACCATTTACTATGAACGAGCCCTTGGTAGTGTCAATATCGTTTCTGGCAACGCAATGATAGGTACCGTGATCCGCCAAAGTTATTCTCGTGATTTTCAAACGCATTTTAAGCTGAAAAATCATTAGAGAATCCGTAGAAAGGAAGAAACGTTTCATTGATATTATTCGCATTACCTTATAAACGTCTTTCTTATCGTAAACTTCTATTCTGTATTTATCAGACATTTTGAGACGACGGCTGTCTTCACGTTCCCAATAAAGGGTGGGTTCCGGATATGCCTCGACTTCGCATTCCAGAGTTGCGATACTTTGGCTACGTGCGTGAATTATTTGGTTTCGTATTCGAATGAACGGCGGAACTAGAAAATTACTGTCTTCTTATTTCAATAAAAAAGAAAAGCAAACGGACGACGGAACAATAACGTACTGCAGAATGCTTACATTTGACTTGAAGTTTAAATCTTTTAACTGCTCGAGGAGGAACTCCGTTATCGGCAACGCATGTATATTCTCCCATGTGTTCTCTGTTCACTACGCTGATATTAAATGTATGTCCGATAATAGAAGTTACTATGTAATAAATTTTATAAATATGAATAGAAATAATTTCGTTGAATCATTGTAAATTTATGGATGATGAACAACCGAATATACTTGAAATATTACTGATTATTATGTTTCGTATTACCGTGCCAAGATCCTACGGGTATGACACTACTATCGGTTCTAAACCATTGAACAACGGGCTGAGGTTTTCCGCTTGCGCCGCATTTCAATCTTATATTAGTCCCTTCGTAAACTGAAATTAATTCTGTGGAGTTTAAGGCTGCTGGTAACATTCTATCATCTGAAAATTTCAATAAGTATATACATTAATGAAGATATGATCGTTAAACGTTTCATTATACGAGAACACTTACCTAAAATAGAAGGAGGAATTAATAAATCATTTACATTATAGTCATTCATGTTCACCTTCCAGGCTGTTATCCCTGGCTTGCCATCTTGACCTGGTATGCCTGGTCTACCAGGAGGACCCATTTCTCCTAAAGTTGTTTACATCAACAACGTATCTTTTTTTCATCCATGCGCAATTACAATGAGGGAATGTGAAATAATGTTAAGTTACCACGCAGTCCAGGTGGTCCCTGTGGTCCTATTTGACCTGGCCTTCCTAAAAGCAAAATGTAGAAGAGATACTAATTAATATAACCGACTAAAATATTCCTACTTTCACATAACGTATTTTTAAAAATGCAAACATATAGTAAAGAATATTAGAATTATGAAGACATTACGTATAATATGTACCATCTGTGCCATTTCGTCCAGGTCGCCCAGGAGATCCATTTAGCCCTGGTTTACCATTTATTCCTGGAGCTCCATCTAAGCCGCTACGCCCAGGAATTCCATCGAGACCAGGTTCACCTGGAACTCCATCTCTGCCATCAAAACCTGGATGTCCTACATCACCTTTTGGCCCACGAAGTCCAGGAGGACCAGTTAAACCAGGCGGTCCCTTCGGACCAGTCATTCCTCGTAAACCTGGAAGGCCAGGTTCTCCAGGAGCTCCTGGATTACCTGGTGCTCCCGGGAGTCCTGGTGGACAATATTTCATTGAAGATCGACAAAAATTCTCAATGGCATCGACCTATAATGTATAATAACTTTTATTAAAATTTCAGATTTCGTAAAAAAGGATAATTTCTACTATTAGGGATTCATAAGTTGGTGTCTAAAAAAATGCAAGTTTTATTAACTAAGGTCTGATCTCCTCTTTATAGCCCAGCTATCTTCGCACTGCTGCAAAACCAAAGGCACACTTTCCTGATATAATTGTAACTTAAACTGGATTACATTTACAAAACTACTACTTTCGTTGAATACCAAATTGAAATTTCTGTGACTTTTATCATTAGAATTCTGCAGAATTAATACATGCATTTTCCTCACCAATATCTTATTTTCTGAGATACCAACTGTTCAGTCGTCTGCAATGCATTTATTAAAATGTAATAATACAAAAATTTATACCTGGACACGAGTGTCTGCGTTTAACCATACCCAATCATGTCCCATAGGAGTAATCGGCGAAGATGCTGCACCGGACATTGCTGCAGGAGGTGAAGTAACTTTCTTAGATTCCTTCAACATATCTTTTTCGTCCCATATCTAAAATATAAAAACAAATATATATACGCAAATCGTAGCTTTTTATACATACAACATAGTAATAATATATACTCTTGAAATATCTGAAACTTTATTATCTTCTGTCACAGGCAATGCACTGTTTCGTTTCTTACGTATAAATTTCTCAGGCTCTAGAATGTTTTGATTTCGTATAATGTAAACATCCGTTTCAACACGAGCCACGTAAGTGTAAAGATAAATGGATGTTAAAAATTGTAACAAAAATTGTAATAGGATAAGGAGAAAAAGATTCCATGGCTGCAACATCCTTTGTGCTACTTTTATAGAAATTTTCCTTTCCATGATTGATATTCACTTTATACTCCTGCAAAGTAATTATAAGTTCATGACTTTCACAACAAAAACATATTATAACACTTACCAAGAAATACTTTAGTATTTCTGAATAAATCTGTATCCCTAATATATTAAATAAATTAAAGAAAGGGGGGAAGTATATAAATCTAAGTTGGTTGATTGGTTACTATCAAGTAATTTAACATAGAATTAAACCCATGTTACGTACACTTTTCAACCACAGATCAAGTGTTGTAGAGTTTTCAGCCAATAAAGCGAAACAGATCCATTTATATTGTATATAATATAAATGTAAGTTTCATAAATTGCAATTCTTTGTTAAAATATTAACAAATGTCATTAATACTATAAATTCATCACGTTTTCGCAATTAAAATGACTTGTTACATGTTTTATACACATGTGACAAAAATACTACTTTCCACTGGGAAATGCTTGTTAATTATTATGTCAGACGACATAAAAAACTGAGAATACTTTTGTGTACACTCCGATGCAAATTAACGTATCTAAATATCTGTCACTTGAGCCGGCGACCGGTGTTATCTCGTTGTTAATTACGCATGCGTACATTTACTAGTCGTTCTCCCACCGCACGAAAGTATGACACCCAGTTTCTAATTTTAGTCTAATTATGGCGGCAAATTTAAAATCCTATAATTGTACATAAATAATCAGAATTATTTTTATTTAAAATTTAATACATTTTAGGACGAGAAATAAGTAACATTTATATAAGAAAATAATTTCTTCTGTATAAAACATCAAAAACAAAAACAATAATAAATTGTGTTCAAATAAATAAAGAAAACAATATTTGTACATTTGACAATGATTTTGTTAATTTTTCAATAAATTTACCATCGTTAAAGTTATATCTTCTCACAGCCGTTACCATCGTCGAGTAACGCTATTTCTATACTTTTACCGCTATTTTCCGTCTGTATATCTACATTGTACGTATTAGCCTGCGAAAACAGAGAATTTATTAAGGTATTTTTCAAATTTTCAAATATCGTGTATTGTCATGAAATATACCAGCTGTAACGTGGCTAGAAAATATCTTGCTACTTCAGAAGAAGGTTTGTTCCCTACAACGTTGTCGAAGTTCATCTTCTTTTGATCCAATGATTGCAGTGTTCCTATTATATGGGAAGTGTAATCTTGAATTCGGAATGCGGGTCGTATTTCGGCCTCGGATAAGATCGGTTGTAAAGAGGCGTGCCACTTAGCCACACTTTGGTCCAAGTCAGTTGTGACATTTGACTCCTCGAAAATTTCTTTCATTTTATCTTCGATTAACGATTGATAATCTGGCAATGAATATGTCGTATCAATTTCCGAAATTGAGGGCTCGTACCAATCGTTACACGTATTAGATGATTGTTCATTCGTATCAAATGAATTGTGAACTGATCGTGACATGGTATCGTTAGGAGAAGAACTTCTACTCATAAGCTCCGGAATATTATTTTCAGCGCAATCGGTTTGCTTCTCGGAAATTCGAAAACCCAATAAATCAATAGTAGAACCTGTCATAGCTTCGTATCTCGAAGTATCATTTTCCTTTTCCGTTCCATTTAAGCATTCGTCGAAATTCTTCATAAAATCTTCCAATTCCTCTATTGAAAGAAGGAAAATATTGCAAACACTGACAACATTATTTTGAAATATAATTCAGTTGAACTTACGTTTTCGCAAGCGCTTAAATTTTTGCTTTGCTTGTGAAATAAAATGCTTTTCTTGTTGGGCGAATGATTCAACCTCGCGTAAGAAAAGTTTTGTTAAACACTCCGGTTTATGGAATTTTGATGTTAGTTTACGTTTTTTCTAAAAGACGGTTACGCATATAAATCATACGTTCGACTGCAAAAATTGAATTGAAAAAAAGTACCAATAACGTCACTTATACATACTGAGCCGAATTTAGTTTCTAAAAGAGAAATATATTCTGGAAGTTTCAAAACAGATGGATCCTCGGTAAAAACACTTTTCATTTCCTTAATAAATGGCATTGGTTTCCAGTCAGACTCGTTGATATCTTCTACAAAGTACATTGACATTTTTGTTTTTTCATTCCTAATAAAATTATTAATATATGTAGTGATTTAGTATCATAAATTTTATGAATAATTCAAATATTTCTTTAAAATATACCCTTTTCTTCGTATTTCAAGTGAACTTTCTTTGCAATACGCGTTATCTAACTCATCTTCCTTAGAATTGTGTCCTGAATACCTACAATTATTTGCCAATTGGTCATCACTCTTCAACTTTTCTTTAGTTTTACACATTTTATCGTTCTTCTCATATTCCTCTTCAGCTTGGATTATTTGTTCTAAATTTTGATTTCGACATTTTTTCATAATTTCACTAATTTTCAGTGGTATATCATTTTGAGTATGTTGCACTTTGAAATCATTCTTTTTTGTAGTAGATTGTGGAGAGTCAACGTCCGTTACCGAAGAAATTTCATGATCTCCATTTATCATATTTTCTTTTTCTGCAACATCTGATTCGATTAGTGTAGAAATATCCTCTAAAGGTAAGGAAAAGTCATCTTCTTCTTCAAATTCTTCATTAATTGATGTTACAAATTCATTATCATTTAATGAAGCAGCTGAATGATACCCTGAAGTTCCAGTACCAGGAGTTTTTGGTTCTGAATAAGAGGATAAAGAATTTCTTCCTTTCTGAACACGAGAACCAACTACATGATTAAAATCGTAAGGTGTCAGTTCATCCACCAACATTCCACTTGTATTTATAGCTTGGTTACACCTTGATAATTAAAGTGAAGTTAAATAAGAGAAGAAATTAAAATAAATTATTTCTTACCGAAAATCGTATTTTTTCCCAATAATTTCTCCTAATACATCAAATGTATGAATAGGGATACACAATTGTGCTATACTGTTTTCTAACTGAGTAAAGCGATGACTTAATAGTTTGATTCTTTTTTGAGCTTGAAATTGATTCTTTTTATCAATTTTTTTACCAACATCCTTTTCTAAGTCACAAAGGACAAAATTTTCAATATCTATGTATGCTTTCTTAGGTACTCGTTTTTCTTTACTTGTAGACTTGTTCCTTTCTTCTTCCCTATCGGAAATATGAATAGATCATCATTTTGTAGTATTTATATTTCATATTACAGTTAAGAACTTAATAATTACTCATAGCCAAAAAATGTTTGTTTTAAAACTTCTATCTCGGTAAACAGACGTTCAATTCTACGAACATATACATTAGTTGAATTCTGTAGAACAAGAGCAGCTTCTCCAAAATTTATATTACACGGTGCTTCTAACAATGCATAGTATTCTTCTAAAATCTGAAATGGGAAGTAACGATATAATTGTCCTTATAATTACTTTAACATCATTATATACCTGAGATAATGGAAATTTCCAATCAGCCAGATCTTTTGCTGGTTTCATAAGTTGTACACTAATATCTTGTAAAGTAACCATCTTATTTCGTTTGTAGGAATTCTAACAAATAAAGACAAAGTTCCTGTTGTAAACAACAGTATTTATTTACTACCATTTCTTAATCCAACAGTTTCATTTTGTAAACATAAACAAAGAATAGTATTGATGCATGTTGTTAAATTATAATTCAAGAACAAATATTGAAATTCTTGTCAACAAAACAATTCACTGTGACATGAATTGAAATTATATTGTATTCTAAAGAATCACATGGTATTATTTAGAATTGTATTTATTTTTTACATAAGAAATATTAAATATTACTGAAATTTATAAAATAATATAGAAAAATAATAACCTTTAAAATATTTGAAATTACATTACTACATGTATAGATAGATACATATGTAGATCAAAGTAATGTAGGTTAGGACTTCAAGTGCTTCTTATAATATGTATTTGTTGATATATCACCTATTCTAGTCATGTATGTGTGTAAGATGTATACATGTACACATTGTCCGAATAATTCTTATTGTAGGTGAACTGTTTATATTTTGAGCAACAGGAAACAAACACTGTGCATTGTTGCAAGACATTGTTTAAATTTTTTAATATCATATCTGTAGACATAATAAATAGCAATGTTATGTATTGTTAAGGACAAATGTACAAAACTTTTTCTATTTATTACTTAAGAAAAATCTAAAGAAATATAGATTCCTTTTGTTTTACGCATTCTTTTGAAACCAATTTGTAGATTTTACAGAATGAACTTTACTCAGAGATACCCACGCGAGTTCATAAATATAAAAACGGAACAAAGTTAAAAAAGAGTTTCAGCGAAATATTGAATTTACCATAAATTTTAATTCATTACATAACATTTATAATAATTTATATAATTTACAATCTGCAGAAACAGTGTAAATTTGTAAGTACGACGGACTTGACAATAAATAATTCAAAGCGAATATGTGTTCTAGAAATAAAAGTAATAAATTCTGGCAAAATATACACGAATTTTTCTGTTTAATCGCATTAAGGGTACAAGTTGAAGAGCATATGCATAATCATATGTGTAAGAAAAGCCTCGCTCTTCCCAGATTCCGTACATAACCAAATTTGCGCGAACAGCGCCATCTCTGAAGGCAATGAGGTACTACTGTAGTCATATCGATACATGATATCTCTAATCCGCCGGATGAAGTAGTCTGTAACAATTGGATTTTCCGGAAATTCCTTGAAACAAAATAAATTATTGTTCCTTTCATTTCCAGCGTTTACTTTAGTTTACAATACACTATCGTGAGACACCGGTGAGGAAAACTTTCGAAAAGAAACCCATGTTTTTGGAAATGTCATTGGGATGATTGTTTATCCACCATTTTGTTTTGCTGTCGTTCTCACAGTTTTTCCTGGCACCGTGGCCTATTTTACAATGAACTAAATTGACTCAAATTTGAAAAAATCGTCGAATCTGACGATACTCTGTGCTTCGAGAGGACATTGTTTTTTTCCAGATTTGAATCAGATTTCATTCCTTAATGAATGTTCTCGTCATGAGCATTTGTGAAATCTCGCCTCGAGTTCTGACCCAACTTTCCTGACTTCTTTAATCAAATGGCGATTACTAGATAAAACGAACAGTTTTCGCGTCATTCGCCACGTAAGTTTAATATTTTAATTGTGATTATGCCACTGAACAAGTTTTAATGCAATATTTTCGACGTTAAATGTATCTAAGATCGGGTAAGGATACCGCTTTATTTGTGTCGTGATGGTGTTTTAATACCGCGCAATATCTATCAGCAATCTTTTATGTTGCCGTAATTTATAATGTGATACCTGTTAAATGTGAAAGTTAAATATACGAAGATAGAAAGGAGTAATTTTTTATTTTATAGAATGTCAGGTCAGAGTGGAGGGCATCGTTTAAGGTTGTCCAAGCTCAACGACCAGCTGACGTGCAAATTATGCGGTGGATATTTTATTGATGCCACTACCATTATAGAGTGCTTGCATTCGTGTATGTGTATTCTTTTGTCGATTTTGTAATCTTTTTGTTTGTGTGTGAATGAATTAATTTCATTGTTACAAAAGAGTTGAAAGTTCAACCATTTTGGTGTTGGAAGCGGTGATTAACGTTGCTCTACAGTTTGCAGAAGCTGCATCGTAAAGTATCTGGAGAACAATAAATATTGTCCGATATGTGAGGTACAAGTGCACAAAAGTAAACCGCTGCTTAACATTCGTCCGGACCACACATTGCAGGACATTGTGTATAAATTGGTGCCTGGATGCTACCAAAGTAAGTTACATAATAAATCCCAATAACGCGCATTATAGACCATTTATTTATTTTTATTTCAGATGAGATGCGATGTCGGAGAGAGTTTTATTCTAAACATCCTGATGCATGTGCTCAAACAACATCTCCCGAAGCAAGAGGAGAACCTACAGAATCGCATATATATTCACCGGACGAGTCTCTCAGTTTATCGTTAGAATACTTTAGTCCATCCAAGGATGTTAAAGAAATAACTGTGAAACCCTTTTTGAAGAGATACCTTCGTTGTCCTGCTGCGGTCACAATTTTTCATCTACAGAAACTTATAAGAGCTAAGTATGGGTTAACCGATGCACACAGGGTAGATGTTATGTATAAAGAAGAACCACTACACGGTAGTTATACATTAATGGATGTGATGTACATTTACCATTGGAGGCGGGTAAATATTCAAAACTTACATTAGAGTTGTTTGTTAAAAGACTCGTCGAGTTTTATTCTACAAACATTTTAATCTATTTGTTTCAGAAAGTGCCATTGCATTTAAGTTACAGGATATTCGAATCTTCTCCTAAACGAATAAAACTTTCTGAAGACAATGTCAATTACAAAACATCCTTGCTTCACGCTGGAATCAATCCTATTGATTCGGAAGAAGAAAAATCAATGAAAAGAGAATGGAAAGAGGTACAGTTAAAAATCTCTGAAACTGGAATAATGAGTATTACCGACATATCGGATCAAGAATTTAAGAAAAATACAAAAACTGAAGAGTCTGTTGCAAATATTGACACAGTGAATACACTGTCTATGCAGGACAGTGCTAACGGAAATAATAGGTCAGAAACTGGTCAAAATAACGAGCAACCTTCAAATAAGCAAATCCCTGATGAAATTAATGTATCCTCTAACACAACTGAATTTGATAATGCGAAGAACACTAATCAGATAGAAGTTGAAAAGATTTCGATAGAGGAAGGGGAAAGCGTTAAAACCGAGGAAAAGGGGAAGGATGAGGCGGATAATAACAATATCGATAATAAAACGACTTTACAAAGTAATGTGCAATCTCAGGAAACAACACAATGTGTAGACGAGAGTGCGACCAGATGCAATGTTACTGACGATAAGAACAAGAAGGAATCGTCAAAAAATAACAACAACACCATTATTGTAGAAAAGAAAACGGAAACTCTTAATCATCATTCAAAAAATGAAGCCAAGCTTGTAAATACGGGATCAAAAATCAATGCTTTAAGTGTAAAATTACAATTTCAACCGAAAATGGGACAAATTAATAATAATAATAGTTCTTCGAAGAAGACCGTGAAAGATAGGAAGGCGATGCCGCAAGTATCGAAAAAGGTGGACGCGAAAGCTGCCGAAAGTTTGAAATCTGTAGATTTAAAATGTTCTTTTGATACTTCGAAAACGCAAGTCACACAAGCGAACAGTTGCGGAGTAGCAGTAAGTAAAACATCAGCCCCGTGCTCTACAAAAATGATGTCACCTAAGCCAGCTTCCGAGTCGGAGGAGATTATGAAACCTACCGTTTCAACGCACGCGGCGACCACGACTAATTCCGAGCTGGAAGAAGCAAAATCGAATTTGCAAAATGTGCAATCAGTTAATCAACAGCGATCTTTCCTTCAGGAACAGAATGTTTCAGAGAAGAAGACATGTTCGTTAGATCAAAGTTCCGTAGAGTCCGCTCAAAGAATTAGTGGGCAGGCGATTACGATTCCTCAAAAATCACCGTACACGCAAACCGAAACATTCACAAATGAAAATCTCGCTACCCTTAATCTCACCGCCTCCCTGTCTGGATCCGTTGGGAATGGAATCAATAATACATCCGCACCGACGATAAGTCAAAGTACACATACGTTTTCGTATACCGTTCAGGATTTGGTAAACAGTACAATGTTAAAAAACTCCCTGAAAAGTTTAGCAACATCGACGGCTCAAAAATTATCTGTCTCCACAATTCCAGACAATACAATAACCACATCCACGATACCGGAAAATCCGACTATATTTACCATGTCATCTATGAGCATTTCTTCTTCTTTGAAAAACAGTTATCCGACGTCAGTGATGAGTTCTTCGAAGGATTCGCCGTTAAAGACGAACGTAGAAATAACCAACGTGTATTCTGCACCTCCTTGTCCGGATGCCATTCCAATTTCTTTAATGAAACCGACGATTCGCAAAAACGAGTTGATCACAAAGGGTTCGAATTTGAACGAAATCTGTGCGAAAATCGGAGCCTCGGGTTCGAAGATCAACGACATCTGCGCCAAGATCGGCGAGAACTCTAAAGAGAAGAATAAAACGGAAACGAGAAGTAAATCCGACATTCCAGATTTATTGAAGATTGGAAGGAAAGGTAGCTCCTCGTCGATCACCGGTGATTCCGCTAAACAACAGAACGTCGGGAACATTTCGAATCTACCCACTTACACTCACAGCGGCAACATGATGACAACGGAAAATAAGAATATATATTCTAACGTGAAAGACGGGCATAGAGCCACTTCGTTAGTGTCGGCTTCTCCGATGACGTCGTCGCATTCGATACAAAAGGTTTCTTCTACTTCTAAGAAACAAACTCAAGCAGTAGGGTACAAGACTCTTCGTGATCCTCCAAGATGCTGGAACCCCACGTTCTCCAAAAACAATTACGTAGCAGTTAAAAATCAAAGTAAGGAAACGCAAAGTCAATTACATCAAACTACACTCTCTGAAAGGAGTAAAACAATTCAGTCTAAACCAGCTAAGATATTTAAAATGAGAAACATGCCAAGGTATTTGGGCAATCCTGCTTCCGGAGTAAAACCGATGTATGGAATTGGTAATGACAGTAAAGAGAAAGAACAGTCGACAATGACACCGACGTCGACAACAAACACTTCTAGTAGTTCAAAAAATGGGAATTTAAGTATGATGAAGATAGACCCTAAGACTCTGTCTCCAATTGTTTCTACGATTAATTCACCCATCGTTTCACCACCCCCGTACTCTCCAAGCGCAAGAAATTATCCAAATACTCCATTCTCACGGGACATCTGTAGGAGTACTGGTTCACCGATATCTCCTAAGAATTCGCCAGTGAACATGCTTTCGACAAGCCCTTTCATACCTTCTCCAACACCAAATATGAATCCTAGGTTAATCTATCCACATTTCCCGCCGCCGTTCCCAGACGCAACGAGGTTTCCGAACCCTTTGATCCGATCGCCAATAGGAATTCCATCTCCCAGTGCCTTCCACAGTAGTTTGCCTCCTTCGATCAATAAGTTGTATCAGCGATCCAGTTACGTACCGCAGACCACTGGGTTCTCTCCAGTTTCTCAGCCCCCGACTGTTCAAAGAATACCACCGAGTACCTACTCTTCGCCTAAATCACCTAAAACTACCTCCTTAACGGCAATCTCACCTGCATCGTATGGTCTAGCCAAAACCGAGACGCAAATAGTCGCAACAACATCCCTCGAGACTAATAATTTACTTCTTCTAGAGCAAGAAGACCTTAGTGCATTCAATCTGTCTAAGACTGGAAGTTTTAGCAATACAGAGAATGTGAAAGCACCGTCAGAAGTAGTTCGGAATTCGAAATCAACCGTGCTTCCTCCGGTCTCGAGCGTCGGCCCGGCTAAGAACACGCTAATTAGCGCTTCAAAGAGTAAGCCGGAAAGCTCTCAAGTAGGATCCGGGTACGATCAGGCGAAGGAGCAACCGCAAGAGGGGTCAGTAGGGTGCAACGAAGAGAATTCTTATCATCCTAAAGTGCAACAACAACAACAACAACAACAACAACAACAACAACAACAACACTCGGAGAAGAAGCGACCCGACGAGAACAGTGATAATGTAAATAAGAAACGGGGGGAGAAGTCGGTTTCTCAGATGAACGGAAGCCTCGCTAACAAAAACAGTGACGATGGGCCAGTAGAGAAACGCGCGGAGCAGCAGAACGAGCAGAACGAAACGCAGCCGGTCCAGATCTCGGAGAGTAGTGCCGAGAAACAGCAGCACGAG